GGAATCACATATCTTTCATTTTTAAAAGCCCACCTCCCCTGGCCTGTGCTGTGCTTTATTAAGCTCTAAATCCTATTTATTTCATTTATCTATGTACAATTACTGGATTTTTTTTTTCAAATTGTTGATCTAAAACGTATGTCATAGTAATTAATTTACATTTACTCATACATTTACATCAGTGCTTGAGTTTAATTACTACTGCCAAATAAAATACTTGCTTCTTAAATACTTGCCTCGATTAACATAAAGGAAATGCATTATATTTTTAATTCAATTCAAATTGTAGATTAATCTATCAACTGAAATGGGCAAAATAATTAGGGATTAATTAATTAGAAAAAAATCCATGTACTCTACGATTCCAGTTAAAAGGCTGAGAAAGAAGTAGAATTCATTTTTAAGGAAGAAAAATAAATCACGATAAAATGAACAGGTCTAAAAGAAAGAAGAAAGGGTTTTGGTAGGACTGTATTTAATACCAGACCAGAATTCAGATAAACTGTCTCTGCTTTTAATTGACATGTGGACGGGAGACAGTCAACATGCTTGATTGTTGCATGCTTGTTTCTGGGCTACAAACTTCGACCCAAACAGACTAAGTGCTGTTGTAAAACATAAACGTGCTTCAAAAAAACATCCATTTAAAAGAGTCTCTTCTTACCACTGGGAACAGTTCCAACTCCCCCTGCAGGTCCTCAGGAACTCAGAGGTAGAAGGAGGTAGAAGAGAACTTTTCTAACCACAGGTTTACTGACTCACTGTATATGCATTCATTCTTTAAACTAAAATATGGCTTTAACGTTGAAATATGTCCTTTATACAGAATCTCTGCTGGAATATTATTTGACTTGTAAATGTAAAATTGTTATAATGATCATAACAATTTCCCTTGAGAGGCTGAAAAATAGTGACTGTTCTGCTGCTGCGTCAGGTTAGTCCAGGAATTAGGTGCTTTACATTCCTGTTTTCACGTTTTCAGGAGGTTTGGTCTTTTAACAAACCTGACCACCTGTAAAAGTAGATTAGATTTGTAGATGGTTAGATTTGTGTAATATATATATATATATATAGTATTTTCCCATGTATAAAATAAAAAAACATAGACATGTGATTATGTGATGTAAAAGGTAGAATTATACGATGTTCTTGGCACAAGTGTTGTGTGTGCAATTTTATGCATATATATTTATATCAACATTCCTAAATATGGCAAGAATTAAATTGATTCCTCTGTAAATTGCAGGAACAGGAAGACAAATACTGTAACAGCAGCTATATGTTTGAACCTACTTGTCCTTGTCCTCAACTTTATTAAGTCTCTCTAGAGTATCTGACAATCCATGTGACATCTGTGTCAGTCAACCTGTTAACCTTAGGAAGGGTTACTGTCCTGGGCTTCATTATGCATGTCTGAGAGAAGCCAGTCTTCTGACTGGAAGTTGAAGCCTTAATAAACAAATGCTGGCCATTGGTATTTATGGTATTTTATACTCCAGGTGCTTTGGTTTCCACAGTGTGTGTAAATAATGCAGGTTAGAGTAATGATAAGTGAAATTGATGTGTACAGTATACAGTACAGTACATCAATATCAATGACTCAGTGACTAAATGAATCAAATTAATTTTCAGTGAATCTCCTAACCAGTTCACGGTCTGACTATTTCCTTTTATCATAACTGACGTTTATAGACTGCACAGTCACGATCATTTGTTTTATCCTTTGCCACTGTGGCATCACAAGTGAACAGCTTTCTCTGATATTCACAAACAAATAGATCATAATACCATCAGAAATATAAGTATTGACATTATTATCAGATGAGAAATCTGATTCCCAGAAGCTTCCCTAGTGAAGCAGCCCGGCTTCAGCACAGATCCTTAAATACAGAAACATTTATTTGACATTGTAAAGAGTCTTCTGAAGTCATTTTAAACATTAAGGATTTGTTTATTTGAAAATCACTTCAAAACCATCATGAAGAGAAACAGAAAGTTAGTTCTGTACAAACAAATAGCAGATGCTCTGGGCAGATCTCAGTGATGCTGCTCCTGGTGCTAAATGTAGACAGATTTAGGAGACAGTTCTTGTTGGGATGAAAAGCCAAAGTAAATAATGGAAACAACAAAAACATTTCTTGTAAGTGCAATAACTTATTGCAACAGCACATTATATAAAGTTACAATCAGAAATACTTGGGTAATATACAAAAAAGCTGCTTGAAGCAATAAGGAAATCAAAAAGCAAATTCTGACCTTAGTTAATAAAGTCCAGAACAAACAAACTCTCAACAATATTACTGTAATACTTTACCGGCTTATCTCTGGAGGTTCTCTATTTGACAAATAAGCAAAAAAAAAAGAAAAAAATGTACAAGCACAAGAATTAATGAACACCAGAACAACATTTTTTCATATTGTTCACATTCACACCATACAACATTATAACCATGGGTTTTAAATGCTTTATTTCAGTAGTATCAACATGGACGGAGCTGCAGAGGAGTGGTTCTCTGAGGGAGGACCAGTAACAAGTCAAGGTAAGAATTCAGTCACTAACTAGGAATTTATTCCGACTTCCTCTTGTCTTTATTGGATATGTTTGATCTTGAGCTTCTCACATCCATCGGACTAAATGGAGCCGTGGCACATTTTACTGACCACGTCACGAGTCATGCCTTTTACTTTGCTCATCCACACAACAAAAACCGAGATAAGACAAAACTTTAAATAAACACTCTTAATACTTGCAGTTTTACTCCTAAATATCCTGGCTGCAGAAGGTTCTCATATGTTACAAAGATTATCCAGCTTCAAGCAGCAGAACCAAAATTTCCTGCCATCAGGGGAAAGAAAACGGATATGTAGCTCAGCGGGCGTCATCCAGGGATCAGCCAGAAAACTAATGAAGCCTGTCTCAGGTCTGAGCCTGCAGCACAGCTCTGGTGACAGCCTTATTCCACCGGGGTAATACACAGAGACTCCCCCTGCAATGGCTGGACATACTCACCCAATTCCTGCAGTCCAGCTCTAATGTCATCACATTACCTAAACACTGCAGAATGCTCTGCAGGACAATTAGGGCCACTGATTTGGCCTGCAGTCTCTGGCATATACACATGGCATATACAGGACTGTGAGTGACGCTTGGAAAACCAAAAGTCATCTCTGCCGAGCTCAACTCTGTCAAATGAATTGATATCTGCAGCTTCTGTGCAGTATGTCGGCGTCATGTACGCTGGAATGACCTGCAGGTCCCCTCAGAGAAAGACAGGTCACTTGGACGCAAATTAAGTCTATCTATTTTTGTCAGGGGTTGATTCAAGTCGATGTGGTAAGTTGGTGTTGACGGCTGCTGCTGCGTAAGGTGAGGCCTTGGCTCTTTGTGAACACGCAGTTTCCTGTAACCTGAGGCCACAGCCTTGCAGGGGGAACCTGTGCAGGCTGCTGCAGGCAGGAAATGACATGTTAGTTTGACACTGCTGCCAATCTAACGGCCAATCTCCTCCCACACTCAACTGGCACGAGCTGTTTGTTGCTCTTATTCAGCAAGTCCCTGTTCATTGTAGCGTTTAACCTCTGTTTTATGTAGCAGGGACATAACGTACGGACTTCATTTCTGAAAAGTTGGTTCATGTCTTTACAAAAGCAATAAAATATAATAACCAAACAGTTCAGTCATGAACTTGAACCCTTAGCTAATAGGCGAAGGGACAGAGACTGTCAGTGTTGCCACTGATTAGCTTAATTATTTTTGTCAAACAAAGAAAAAACAGCTTAGGAATGGTAACGTCAGCGAACCCAGAAATGTTAGGTCGGAAGCAACTTCTCCATCAGGTGTTCTATTTTCTTTTAATTACACTTTTAAATCCAATGGGACCTGATGAAATTGATTATTTAATCCCGGGAAATGTGATTGGACTGCAGGTATTCCAGTCATGCAGATACGCTTTCATCATCATGTGCAATAAAGCCTAGCATTACCATGCCAAAAAGTCACGAAGATCTTGGGAAAGATTCCGTATTAGTAAAAGGCAAGTGTCCCAAAAATGTAATGATGTGCATATACAAATTTTTTCACTATTTTATTAACTTCATGGCAGCAGGGCTGCACTCTTTGCTGTTTTAAAAAAGACATTTGTTGGAATTTAAAGGTCTGAACATTTTTTGTTCAAGTGTGTATTTTAGTGTGAGCTGACACTAAAAACAAAATGATGAGCAAATACTGCCGGCAAATACTGCCGGCCTTGGGACCAGGCTCAATGTCAAGACTGTCAGACTGTTGTTAGTCCCCTGCTCAGTGAACAATGAATTCCAAGAATGCATTTCTTAGGACTTTGGCCAGGCATTTTGGTAACTAGTGATTATTGTTAAAATATCTGTGTCCTATTACGTGATAATGAAAGGCTGAAGTGCATTTATGAATTACAGATATTAGTTTTTGGTGTTGTTTGTTAATGTAACAGGTGTTGTTTTGAAACTGATTTTATTTGCTTATCATTGATAGTTTGAAAGGAACATAATAAGGTGTAGGAAGGTCTGTGTGGATTTTGTGAAACTAAGCAAAAATAGGTAAACCATATGAATGAGGCTTGTAATGATGATACGACTCAGTTTGGCTTTGAATTCCTACACCTTGTGGATTTCTTGTAAACCTTATGCTATATTGCTGAGATGTGTGTGAATGTTTATTATTTGGACCTGAGAGATCAAGGCATCAAGAATGAACACAGCATCCAACGTCGTACCTCAGCGCTTCTCTCACTTCAGCATCTGCTGATTGTCACAGTTGTTATCTGAGCTGCTTTGGCCGCTGTAATGGCCTCTGCTATCTCCCCCGTCTCTCCCTCTTTATTTGACCTGTTTTATCATTAGTGCTCTCAGGAAAGTCTCTCCTCCCTCGCAGAACTTGCTGACGGCTGTGAGGGAGAAGAAGGGGGCCCTGTGCAGGACAGGGTGGACCAGGGTTGGGACATCATGTAGCCCAAGAGATGGCTGCACTGTGTTCTTTGGCCTTCATGCGCAGTGCAGCTATGCTGGAGGACTTGCGGTCTGGATCAACATTGAGGTCATAGCCGTTGATCCCTCCACCCATGGCAGGACCCCCAAACAGACTGCCCATATGGGTCTGTCCCATGTGGCTGCTCCCTGGACTGGACATGCTGAGGAAGTCAGAGACACCTCCAGGACCGTGAGGGTGGGGGGGCATGCAGGATGACACAGAGTCACAAGGAACAACGCAGCCTGGAACCGGGGATGCTCCGCTGCTGCTCCCGAGCCATGAAGGGTTCTGGATCTGCAGAACATGGTGTTGATTAGGAAAAATGAATGCAATGAATATAACCAGAGGCCTCATACAGTTTAATGGGACCATGTGTAATTTGCACACATCTAGTGGTGAAGTTACAAGGTATGGTTTCATGGTAGCTTTGAGTTATCCTTAAAACACACACGTTAGAACATTATAACTATACTGAATGGTGGCCTCTGCAGCATTTCTTCTTTACAATCACTTTAAAGGAAAAACAAACACTAATACAACAAGTCTATTTTATATTGCACTTTACAAGTATATGTCAGTATATGGATATTTTATTTTGATAAATGCATCTTACTAAAATGGTAATTTCCGTAGTCTTCAATTAAGACTGTTATGTTGGCCCATAAAATTCTTGACACATCTAAATACAGGAGAGACATTTTTTCACAGATTTCTGCTTTTAATAGCAATTATGCTGTAATTTGTATGACAGTCTGAATTTATTCCCGTGATATGTTATTATAAAACATATCTTTTAATACAGTGGTAAGGCTGCTAACAATTTTCATTATCGTTTCACCACTAGACTGTTTACAGTTTCATTATGTCTTTAGTTTGAATTAAATATTAGGGCTACCCACAGTTTGGTGTTAATAATAAATAATAGTAATTATAGTATCATTTACTTCCAAAAGCTGTAGTTCAGACAGTAGGCTTCCCTTCAGTTTACACTTACAAACATATTTTCTTTAAAACCCCACTACTGTGACAACAACAAATCTAAATTAATGTAAAGGCATTCGTATTGATAGAGTTTATTTGGAGTTGGAAAAATTCAACTCTGACCTCGATTATAGTTTCAATTATACTTCACTGAAATACTTCAAACCACTTTTTTGTAAGAGATAATTTTTGTTTCCTTTCAAGCATTTCTTTTTGCACGTTCCCCATCATTTACAATTTATTTTAATTTGTTCCATGTGTCAGCAGCAAACTCACAACAGCCCTGAACCATTGCATTATGGGAGAATAGTGCTATGTGCAGTAAACCAAAAATTGCCTCCGTCTATGTGGACGCTCACTGTCCGATGTGAATACACTTTGTGGTCGTTGTGTAAATCAAAAGACTTGGGTTTTGAGGTATACAGGTCTTGGTGTATTTTACCTGTGCGTAGTTCTCAGGCCTGGTCAGCAGAGGCAGCTCATACGCTGTAGAAAAGTGTGTTCGCACTTGTTGCATTTGACCAAAACGCTCTCTTTTCCTCCACTTTGCCCTGCGATTCTGAAACCATACCTGGAATAAAAAATAAATCCATGCTGTAAATACTTTTAAACACAGACCAGAGACAAAATTCAAAATTTAAAATGTCATGATACATTTTTTTCAATCACTTTTTAAATCCCACAGTGCATTTTAAAATAAAATAAAAAAACAATCCTGTCTTTCAGTTCGCAAAGACAAAACAAGAGGCCAAAACATATAAAATGAAGATAGTGAAGTAAATAAATTCTGCTGCACATGAAAGTCCAGGCCTGGGTTTTGGGAGTTGACGGGTCTTTAATGTGCTGTGCTCACATAGCATTGATGTGAAAGTGGTGAGTCTCCCCTGGTGCTGGCTTTTCCAGCTCCTCCCTTTGATACACAGACGTCTGCCTCCCTTCAGGCGGCCAGCGTCGACAGATCCACATCTGGACCTGTAGCCATTCATAAATCACTCTCAGAAAGGTGTGCTCTCCCCCACATGTCAGCACAGTGAGATACAGTGGGGAATCCCTCCGTATATTCCACCAAACAAGTTCAACTTCTGACACTCTGGTTTTTCCTGTGTGTAGATTATCTTAAAGGTTGTTTTCTGATAATAGACTGAGTCCATGCTTAAAATGAGCCTGTCCACAGTTCACCATGACTTTCATCAATGATGTCATAGCAAGGAAGATATTCTTGTTAATTATATTATTACACAGGTTTCTGACTGGTCAGGCAGGTTCTCCATTACATAAACATATCATTCTAATTTTCTTTATTCTCAAACCAGGAACAACTTCAAACTGAGTTTTACTAAAGGTGATTTATTTCAGTTTTACTGTTGCAACAAAACCTTGGGTTTTAAATTAAATTCAACTTTTAATGAAACTGTTTAATACAACAGCTGCTCCGACTGACAGAGAGCCTCGATGTCACTCTGTATATTTTCTTTTTTTTTTTTTTTATCACATTATGTTGGATTTTTCACCTACAGTAAAATAAGTTTGCCTAGTCTTTATGTTGTAAATTTGTTTGGTACTTCTGGTACTACATTCCGTTACATGGTTCTTTACATTCTTAGACATAATGTGAGTTATGTAACATTAGAATCATTATTCTGGATTTTATATTTTTTCCTTAATTTAATTCCAAAATCCCTGACTTGTTCATTCAGTATTTCTGCAATGATTTCTTTCACTGGTTTGTTCGTTAATTCTCTTCAAATTTTAATTGTAATCAAATGAATCAACCATCTGAACTCGAGACAAAACAAAAACAGATTTTGGTTGGCAGTCGAAACAAGGCCAAAGTCATTATTTAAATGCATTTCTGATGCAGGGGACTACTGTTCAATAAGTTTTGTGCAAGTGTTTTGCTATTATAATATACTATATTTCTTTTCCTATTTTCACTATAAAAATAATGTAATCAAAATGTTTGACTGTCCCTTACAAAAAGAAAGTCTGAACAAAAAGGAGCCGTACTTGGAAATAAAAAAAACTCCTAAACAATATAGTTTCCACTTTTAGACTATAGCTTTTTGTTTTTTTTCAACCTTTTTTCAACTCCCTTTTGTCCATTGATGTACTTAACTGTCAGGACGTGTGGGTTTTTTCATTTAATAAAGTTCATCTGCGTTGTACTTTATTTATTTTTGTTCTTTTTTTTGGCTGGCGCTGCCATTTAATATCTAATAGAGCTTCTTCTTATGCAAAGCGGGGTGCTGGGAGCCGCCGCATGTTTATGTCTAACTATTTGTTAGTTGTCTGAATCTTATCCTCCAGAGAGGGAAGGGGAAACTTCTTCAAAGCCAGAAGAGAGACAGTGAGAGCGGCTCCATTCCGACATGGGGATTTGAACTTGGATTTGTGGGTTTATTCCCAGCCCAATCATCTTGTGGCCTTTAACATTCCCTGATACACAACTTTGCCTAACTCGACCTTTTCATATCTTCCTTCTATCTGCTCATTTTCTGTACGGGCGTCAGAAATGAATCAAACTACAAAGTATAAAGTATAACCAAACTAATGTTCTCTTTAATCATTGTTGTTGTTTTTTTTTTTTAATTAAACCAAAAACTTCACTCACACTCCTCTACCTCTTCTAGGCTCCATGTGGTCGTATATCTTTTGGAAGGAAACTGACGTAAAGAAATGTCATCTGACTCCACTGTTCCTCAGGTCAGCTGTGAGATTAAAGGACACCTCATCATTGGAAGTGAGTAAAATAATATCTGAGGCTGTGACCACACAGTGTTGTCAAGGTGAGTGGTTTTTGCCCTAAATGATTTCATATGTTTGACAAGACCAGAGGTGTGGAGACTGTGTTATAGTTCCTCTGGGATGAGGAGTGTTTTTGTTAAGTTTAGGTTTTAGGTTTTTCAAACCCCACATTTAAAGGTTCGTGATCGATGACCGTTTTAGCTACCAAATCCACATTTTACTTTCAACATATGGTCGCCCAATCGTAAGTCAATTTACATTCTAATGTCAAGAAAAAAAAACAGTATTTGTTACCACTGTTACAACTGCCCAGTGACGGGGAAAAATAATATCCTTCCATTCTGGAGTTGTTTTGAGCATCTTTTAACTTTTAACTGCATTCTTGGATACATGTATGTATGTGTGTGTGTGCATGAGCTTGTCCTTGGTAGAACATCTGAACATTAAACTGTGTTTTCTGCTTATGTTTTGAAAGGTGTGCATGTACAGTATGTGAATGAGACCATTGATACAATAGTCATGCTTTTTAGTAAACACTACACATTTTTTGTTAAATGCTATGAAAGACAATGTAGTGCCTCTGTCTGCACAGAGTACATTAGAGTGGTTTTCTGGACACTCTTAGTGGAGTCTTGACTGGCCTGAGTCCAGTGACTATGGAGGAGCTAGAATTCTGACAGTACTGTAGGTGATACAGTCCATCAGCTGGTCACATGTCTGTTTTTCCAGAGAAACCAGACATGGGTTAGGTTTTGTTGTTAGATAACAACAAAATCAAGTCAAAGACTGACTTGATTTTGATTTTATCTATTGTTAAGAGATGTCCAAATATCGAAGCATTTCAATATAAACTACTGTCTTCTATCTCTCTGAAGTCAGCGTTCTAATTGTACAACACCCAGCCATAATCTCACCCTTCTATTTATCTTAGTCTTATTTCAAACTCCCTCCTTTCTGTTGAGGCTCTTCTCATTTTTCTTCCTATGCAGTACTTCGACCCCCACCTCCAAAACCCTTTCACTCTTTACGTCTCTCCTCCCTCCTTCCTTTAAAGTCAGTGAGGGGAAGTAGGGATATTGGAAAGTGAGATGGGAGAATGTTCAAACTGGAGCTTGTTTTCATTTCATGTTTAATTTCCTGACGCCTAAGCCCTTGGCTTTCCGCAGCTAACCTCCGTGACCTTTAAGAGGCGTGCAGACAAGAGCAGAAACACATACACACACACGCATACGTACACACACACATGCCTAGAGAATGTGAAACACACATTTATTGCTGTGTGATTAATTGTCAGTGAAAAAACAAAGGCTCTCTGACTTTCTCTCTCACACTCTTAGGGATTTTTTTTTTATTTAACAAACAACCAACAACAAGACAACAGTGTGTGTCATGTTTCACTCTGCTGTTCGACAGCAGCAGGACAGAGAAGAAGCCAAATAGTTTGGCAGCAAGATCATTCAGAGAACACTGTGATGTCAGATGTGTCCTTTACTGCTCTGCGTCTCTTATTGCCTAACTTGTAAAACTTTCATAAACGACAGGATTCAAATATTTCTGGAATATTTTTTTATAAATTTGTACCAGTAATCTTGTGTGTATTGTGTTAGTCCCACAGGTTTTTATCTTCACCAATCTTGTTTATTTTGTTTAGCAGACATCTGCAATGATGTGCCCTTTAAACCCAATGTGTTTGGCTGCGATACAGTAATTGCTAAAGACGTTGACAGCAGAAGGCAGCTTACAGAGCCATTAAAAGGCTTTATTTATGCTATGGAGCCAACAGGCAGAGGGAGGGGAGGGGAGGAGAGGGAGGGCAAAGTGCACAGCTCCAGAAGGAGCTTTGAAGTCCGGCCGTCTCACCTCATCTCTGTCATTCAGGTCCATGGCAATTGATAGACTGCTTCAGCAGTCACTCACACATAGCCTCCTCCTCCTCCTTTTTCTCCTTCTTTTCCTCCTCCTCCTCCATAAAAAAGCATGCAGTGTGGTGAAGTTCAAGTCTGAGGTTGAGAGCTAATTGTGCTGAATAAAGTAGTGGCAGCGAAAGTAACAGATTTGATTACGGAAAAACTGCAGCTAAGTTTATGGAGACATTTATCATCAAACTGAGGATGAAACTGTGAGACCTTGACACTGGTATTCTGGTACAAAACATCTGCACTGTGGCTGTCAATGGCTGCTCTTACATAGATGAAAAGGATTCTCTGTCTCTTGCCAAGCTCCAAGTGCCCCTTGGTATTCAACAATTGGTTATCCCTGGACTTTGTCTTGATGGACCTTCAGTTGAAATTGTGGGCTTTAGTCTTGATTGCATGCATATTTAGGGTATAAGTTAAGAAGAATGGGTCAAACCTCACAGTGACTCACTAGAGTCTGTTGTGTGCCTGTCAGATGAGGAAGTTAATTATATTCATCTGGGGAATAGATGGGTCTGTGTGAAAGCAGCATGAACATACTTATTTTACTGTACCACCACACGGAGCAGACCAGGTTCCCTGTCCCTGACTCTGTCATGGGCTAAGCGTGGAAATTGAAGCTGGCATCTCAAAGTGTTTTTTATATCCTTGCCAAATAGCTTTGATGACTTTTCTCTTTTTTCCCTTCTTGAGTTTTCCTCTCCTCTCCTCGGAGTAGAGCGGTGGAATGGTTTGAACACGGTAGTGCTGTGAGAGAAACCCTTGGCCTCTAACCTCGCTGCAGAGCCTGCAGCATGTAAGAGCTAAGTGCGCAGTATTCCCTCAGTCCCACCCATTCTACACTGATCTAAAACTGGCAGGCAGAAAGAGAGATTGAGAACAATGGACCATGCTGTCTGCTGTTTTGAACAAACGTTGTCAACATGCCAGTCTTTACTCTCCCAGCTCCCTCTGTTTGTTCCCGCAGTGATTATAAGCATGCAAACATAAGGACGTCCGGCCTCGTACAGCATGGCCCAGACTCGTGGACAGTGTTAGCACACTGTGACATGACGGTGTCAATAAGTAAAACAAATGCCTTTAAGTGATGCAGTCCTCTGTTAATAACTGCCTGTTGCTGAGTGAATCCCTGCAGGCTTTTTCAATCGGCCACTTTTTTTAATGCACCGTACTCTGCTGTTTGATGAGCAAACATTAAAAGATTTGTCATTTCTATTAAACTTACTATATATTTTTCTCCTGTAAATCTGGCATTAGATGATTTAGTTAAAAGATTTAAGGTTAAATCCATCAAACTGGCAAAATAATAATTATTTTAGGTAAGAATATTTTTAAAATTGCATTGAATCTTTGGTTGTGAGTTTGTCAAATCTGCCTTAAAGAATTTTGGGTGATGCAGTGATGAGTTTTCAGTAAGATGAGTGTCTTTACTATTGTACTCTCTCATTGTAATGACTTGGCTACAGGATTCAAGTGATATAACACATTTGTGTTGGACCGGGCCAGACACCTTTTGTAGCACCCCCTCCAGGTGAGGGAAATGGAGTGGGCAATTCTCTCTTTTTTACCAACATTATCATTATAGTTCTGGGTTTGTAGTTTCCTGTTTTAAACTACCATTCAACATTAAAGCTGGATCTTGATTTTTTTTCCAAACATCAACCTCGTTTGTTTTAGTTAACTGGACAGGAAAGCTCACCAAACCACAATGTTCCCCAATAACAATGACTAACCTCATTATTGTACTTTTAAAAAAAAGTATGCATTTAGAAGACGCTTTCATCTTCAAGAGCTTTTGAAACACCCAGCTACAGCTGTACATGTATCGTTATTTTCTTTAGATAAACTTCACCAAGACGTAACTTCATACCTGTACACGAGCCTCCGTCAGGTCTGTCCTCAGTGCCAGCTGCTCTCGGGCATACACGTCTGGGTAGTGTGTCTTCTGGAACACTTTCTCTAGCTCCTCCAGCTGGTAGCTGGTGAATGTCGTACGGTTTCGTCTCTTCTTGCCTTTGTTGCTCTCTGCCTCACTTTTGTCCATGGGACTGGAGAGGTCAGATCCTGGCCGCTCGCTCTGCCCCTTCACCCCAGGCTCCTTCAGATTCAGATAACTGCCTTCCATCCCTGCGGGGTCCACACTTGGTGATAACTCGGACTCTGTCAGACCACTGCTGTCTTTTCCTGCATGTGTGAGATAAAAGTAGAGCGAAAATGATTATGATGTTAAAGGTGCAGATACAATTGCCAAGATAACATATTAATACAGTGTATGGTTCGTATCTAACCTTAGTATATACAGTAAAAAGCTTTTACAGTGTCAGACATAGAAAATCTCATGAACTTATTAGATTTTATTAACTTTTGTGTATATATATTTTCGATATTTTAGTAATCATGTTTACTTGTGGTTTTTACAGACCCTGCTTATTATCCTAGAAATTACACCCTGAAAATATTTAAGTACACCCGTGGCTTGTGTTTATATTATTCATATTAATTGATATTATTATATTTTTTCCATTTAAAGTTTGGATAAATGATATCATAATGATGCTTAGATTGTTGTTTAGATAGCATGAAATAACCTTTAAATGAAATTCTTTTAGATTTTTTTTTTCCTGTGCAAGTTATTTTAATCATTTTTCCTCTGGCATTTATAGCCATGGCTAAGTCCTTAGTGCCTTCAGAATTTCACCGCCCATTCAGTAAGCAGAATACTCACCACAGAAATATTTTCTCCAGTAGAAAAAACATTGTGCCCCTCGTTCATGTCATTACCTGCGTCTGTTCATCATCCACACAAGAAGACATTTACCTCCAGCTTACATCACTTCTGTAATGGTTCACTTTAGGCTTTGAGGCTGTGTCTGCATGCAGTGAGTCTAACAGTTGCAAAGGAAAAATGTCTTTTTCTGTTTGAAAGCAATGTCACTACATATTGGCGTGACCTCTGACACAAACATTGCAGACCTCACCCTCACATCTCTCAATCACGCCACATGAAACCCGAGAATAACAAACCTGCTCGCTCTCGATGCCTTGTATGGCGGGCCTTGTGCAAGGGGCTGACTGTGTCTACCCCGCAGCCTTGCCCTGCAGATGTAAACAACATTGTGTTTGTCACCTTCAATTTTGTGAGAGTACATTTTGTGACAGACCTTACTGTGTTCCTGTCAGCAAATGCCAGCTTTTTTGTTTCCTTTTAGCAGATGAAGAAAGCTGTCCCTTCTCCTACGATAAACAAACAACGTGTGAATAAATAAGCTGACGGGCTCTGGTTGCAGCTCTGTGAGAACACTGCGCTCTATCAGACTCTGTGTTTGGCTTCAGTGAATGGGCAAGAGCAGCAACCTGTCCCAACTGTATTGGTTTGAAGCATAATGGTTTTCTCCACATCTGAGTTTCTTGTGCAACAACAGTGTCATTTTTTCAGCTACATTTCTCTGTGAGGTAGATCATGTTGAGGATAACGAACTTGTAAAAGCAACCATTTGACTGTGTCACGTTTCATTTGGTTGTGAGTAATGTCAGTGATGGCGGACTGTCATACTCTGAAAGTCATTCAAATGGTTGTAGCAGAGTTGACACCTTGTGGCACTGCTGACTGTCTGAGCCCTGTGTTTTCGTGGTTTGTGAGATGACTGAATAGTTTTAGAGTGATGAAGCTAGGCGGTGGCTGTCTACTGCGTGCATGTTTGTTTTCGTGGCTTAGTTTGACTTTGGCCAAAGTGTCCCACCATCAGACGTCAATAGTCACCCCCTTGAAACTTGCAGCAGCCCTGCCTTGCTCCCGGGCTATGTTGTACCATAATCGAGATGCTAATAGAACAACACAGCTTGCCCAGCTGGAGTTCATGACCTCATAGTTCTGCGGCCCACCTGTCAGACCCTCTTAGAGTCTCACCACAGGCAGATGTTCTGACATCACCAACCCCGGCACTGGCCTCTTATGTTAACGTTCTGTGCAGAATCTTTATCCTAGCCCTGGGCTTGTGCAGAGATGCTGCATAAATAGCTACGAGTTCCTGTTTGACATTTACATCTGTGGAGAGAATGACGAGAGCAAGGAGAGCTGTATATCCT